AAACAGAGTAAATTAATTATCTGGCTAATTCTTGTTTATTTGGTGAATTGTTTAATTATCTTGCTAAACTGATTGTGAAGAAATTATCTGTTGATGCTTGATTGCTTAGGAGCTGATTTGGTTCACAATCAGCAATACCCTCTGGGGCCCCAGGGTGAGGGGGGGGGGGGGTATAAATCCAATCTCTTCTCTGGCCCATGTAGACACCACAGTGAGAAAACCTCCCAACCTCTCTCTGATATTGTGCTGGCAACAGTCGATCTCTTGGACCCCCCACAGATCTCAGTCTCGGATCTCCCAGCTCCCGGTCGCTAGATCTCATCAAGCTCCAGGATTTGTAGCTGTATATCGGAGTCATGGGAGGAATCGGGGGTGTCAAAATTTCTCACCCTTAGTATTCCATTTCCAGCTGTATTGGGCAGACTGCAGGGGGTAGAGACCCCCACCAGGCTCCCCAACCACTGCTCTAGCACTAATAATAAGTGCAGGAGCGCCAGTAACAAACATAGAGGAATCCTACCAGCGGTTCCAAAATGGCAGCCACACTGAGCAGTCAACACCAGTGGCAACCGGCAGCCCCCAGGTGCAGTCCACCACCGGCAGGATACTCATGCAAAGTTGAGGCTTCACTGGTTGTCTTCACAGCAACCAGGCTGGTCCAGAGAGTCAGGGAGCTGCGTGGGGGGAGCGTATTGCCAATTTTCCTGGCTGCACATTAGTCTGCATTACCTCACAGGTATTTGCCCAGCGTAATGATTTAGTCTGGACCGCCAGTAGTCAATAGAAGTCTCCTAGTTGTTTTAAGGCAAGGAGCCACTAACACTAGAGCTCCTTGCACACCGCCATCTTTCAAGCCATCTCATGAGGAGTTGAGGGGGAGAGGATTGCTCTCTTTAAGTATTTGAAGGGCTGTCACTTAGAGGAGGATAGGGAGCTGTTCCAGCAGAGGATAGGACTAGTAATAATGGGTTCAAATTAAGGGTGGGAAGGTACCGACTGGATATTAGGAAAAACTTTTTTACAGTAAGAGTTGTGCAACAGTGGAATCAGCTGCCCAGGGAGGTGGTGAACGTCCCCTCCCTGGCAGTTTTTAAGCAGTGGTTGTACAAACACAGTTGTCTGGGATACTCTAGGCTGATCCTGCATTGAGCTGGGGGTTGGACTAGATGGCCTGTATGGCCCCTTCCGATTCTATGATTTTAGGAACTTCAAGAACAGACAGGAAAAGGAAATTGCTGAGTTGCAACTTATTGCAACACTCAGAACAATGGAATCCCCAGGACTCAACAGGGATATTGATTTATTGTCTCAGTATATAGGCTAAGCTCATTCAGTCTTTGCGTATGTATTCTCACAAAAAAGTGCTATACATTCTCTGTAATTTTGTGTATTTCTATTTTTGAATAGTATAGTGGAATAGTGCTTATAATATTATACAATGAATATTGAAATGTATTTCTTTGACATAACATTGCACCCAACCTCTAAGAAAAGGACTCTGTTAGTTAACTCCATGTTTGAGGGGAGAAGAACGTAACGTAACAACAGAGTCTCAGTTTACTTTAATATGTAATGTAATTTGGAATGGTAGGTTCAAGTGTATTTTGCTGGTCCGGGGGCAAGGAAAATAACACAGCCAATAAGCCCCACTTCAAAGAAAAAGATGCTGCAGTGTTTCCTCCTTGCTTGAGAGGAGACAGATAGAACCTAATGACAGACTCTCCCAATTAAGGATACATCAGTCTCCAATTCGGGCATATTTATTACTTTGGCTCTGTTCCCCCCCCCCCAATTGAACTGAAACAGACGATAGCAATAAACTAAGCTTATTATTCTTTCAATCTGTTAAAAACATCTTCACTATTCTGCATGCTAATTCACTGCCCTCCTTCTTTGTGTATGACTGTTATATCTATTTCCATTTCATTGCTTCTCAAGAAGTGTGCGTGCACACAAAAGCTCACCCTGAATAAAACTGTGTTGTTCTTCCAATATTTTAGCATGTGAAGGAAGTTGTTTTTGCCTTGGCAGTTTTCCTTCATCCTCTATGCAAGTGAGGGGACTAAAGTGCCATCGTGCACCAGCTTGATGCTGGAAATGTCCCTTGCCTTAAGAGAGATCCTAAATAGGCCCCTCGTTGGCCATAAAACCCACTTGGGTGGCTCTGAGCCAGGGGTGGCCAAACTTGCTCAGCGGAAGAGCCACACAGAATAAATGTCAGCTATCTGAGCATTGCAAAACATAAACAAATATTACAGGCATGTTTTTATTTTAAAATACGCAAATTTGTTTTTTGCTAACATTAAATGAGACTGCCAGAAATAAAAACAAAAGGGGTAAAAAGAGATATTGATGATATTTATTTGTCCAATGATATTTATTTGTTTGCTAATGATATTTATTTGTCTAAGAGAGAGAGAGAAAGACAGAGGTCGAAAGAAAGCATGAAAGAGGTGGAAAGAGAGAGAGAGAGAGAGAGAGAGAGAAACAAAGAAAGCAAATAGATGGATGAGAGGGAGGGAGAAAAAATATGCCTCCCCTTTGCTTCCCCAGCTGCCCTGCTGGGAGTTGCACAGTATGTGTGAAAGAGCCGCATGTGGCTTCCGAGCCGCAGTTAACCCACCCCTGCTCTGAGTGGATTGCTGTCCACCCCATACTGTCGCTGGTTGGTTGTGTGTGCACCTCCTGTTCAGTGGCCTAGAACAGAAGCCACTGGACAAGAGGCTCACAAGGAGTGTTTTCTCCCACTAGGTGGCAGTGTCTGCCCTGAGCTCTAAAGACTCAGCTTCACTTGGCAGAGCTGCCAGGGGCCGCATCTGGCTGCTGGTTTCTGCATAGGGCCCCGTGCCAAAACAGGTGGTGGCTCCAGGATGCTCTTTCTGCAGTGTCAGGCTGGCGCTGAGCTCCGTCTGTGATGAGCTGTGCCTTGGCTGCCTTGAACATCTCTGCTTCCCTGCATGAGCAGTGCCTGATGTCTCGAGACATCAACTAGACACCCACTAATATGTGGAGTGCCTCAAGGGGCGATTCTCTCCGCAATGCTGTTTAGTATCTATACGCGCCCCCTCGACCAGCTGGCTCAGAGTCTCGGGCTTGGGTGTCACCAATATGCTGATGACACCCAGCTATATCTGCCTGGCACACACACCCCAAACCCTGAATGCTAGGTATGCCGTCTTGTTCTTAGAGAATGTTTTAAAATATTTATGCTGAATGCTTTTAATATTGAATTCTTGTGGTTTCAACTGGTTTTATAATGTATCGGACTATTTTGTTGTAAACCGCCCTGAGCCCCACGGTAAACAGGGAAGGGCAGTCAAGAAATCTAATGAATTGATTAAAATCCCCTGGAAAAATCCTTCCAAATTCCTGGGTCTGTATCTCTTTGGTTGTCTGTCGTTCCTGAAGTGCAAAGTGTGTGGGGGGGCCCTGGTCGCGTCTCATTCTTAGAGGGACTGAGTCCAAGAGTCTCAGGTGCGACCTGAGTAGTGGCAGCCATCCCGAGAGGAGTCAGACATGACATGAAGGGTAGCACTGGGGAAGAGGTGAGGGTCTGTTCGGAGATGCAAGCCGGAGCATTTCCCACCGGACACACACCTCTTCCCCGGTGCAATGCCTCACGTCATGTCTGAAACTACAGAAAGTTTCCTGAGCAGTTTGCAACATGGCATGAGGAAAGACCTGCCTAAAAGGGGGGGGGGGGGCAAGTCACATGAAGCATTTGAGTGCTGCCTTATACTGAGTCTGGCCATTGATCCATCATGGTCAGCATTTGTCTACTCTGACTGGCAGCAGCTCTGCAGGGTCTCAGGCAGAGGTCTTTCCCATCACCTACTACCTGATCCTTCTAACTGGAGAGGCTGTCAGGGATTGAACGTGGGACCTCCTGCATGCTAAGCAGCTACTCTACTACTGCTAGAGTCAGCAGCCTTTGCAGCAGTACTTGGATTTTCCCAATTCCCCTTTGCTGAGCCTGTAGCATATCACGTGGCTCATTCCAAATGATGATTTCAGCAGTGAAACAGTCATCAGGCTGGACCAAAGATACAGGCTAGGCTGCCCAGAGTGACTTTGCCCAGCGAGTAAGCATCCCTGCAGAGCACTGCCTGGACCTTTCTGGCTCAGAGTCAGCCTCACTCCCTCCACAGCAGCCTGAATTGGCCTCTGTTCTGGGCTCTTTCTTGCAGCCTCCAGTTCCAGATCCATTCAACTCCTCTGCTGGAGGGGGTGGCTTTTCAGATGACCCCTTTAAGAGTAAGCCAGACACACCCGCTCTACCACCAAAGAAGAACATGCCCCCAAGGCCCAAATTACCAAGCGGTAAGTCCTTTCTTTTTGGGTGCATCCCCTGCTTAGGAACCTGCAGCGAGGAACAGTTGACTTCTCCAGCAAGGCGGGCTGTTGAATTATATTGCAGCCCCTTCTGGCCTTCTCTCCCACCCTGGATGTGTGTCTTGAAGTGCTTTGGCAGACGCCAAATGGTGTTGAAGCAAGCTTTCTTTGCATTCTGAAAACACGAGATTTATCTCTTCAGCCTCTGTACTGTTCTATATTGCTTGGTTATATTTTGCTGGATATTAATACAGTATTTACTCAAAGGCCAGACTAAGTTTTATAGGTATTATTATTATTATTATTATTATTATTATTATTATTAGCGTTTCTGTACCGCCCATAGCTGAAACTATGCCATCACGCGAGGAGGGGGTCATCTTGTCTTTGCAATGCCTGATTTTTCTGTGTGGGTGCGCACGTGTATAACATTTTAAAGGGATCTTCTCACGTTCAGAACTGTCTTCCTTTTGGGGGACACAAAGTGGCTTACAGCATTCTCCTCTCCTCCATTTTAATCCTCACAACCACCCTGTGAGGTAGGTTAGGATGAGAGAGTGTAACTGGCCTAAGGGGACCCAGCTTCCACGGCAGAATGAGGTTTTGAACCCAGATCCTAGTCTGTCACTCTAACCACCATACCACGCTGGTGCTCATTTTTGAGTTTTGTTTTTTAAACTGAGCGATTGAGCTGTTATGTATTTTAAAAGAATGATAACTCCCTTGGCTGGATCAAACCCAGGTGGGGCTGTGGAGTCCAGCATGCTGTTGCTGGCAGTGAGAGGCCCTCTGGCCGAGGAGGACCACAGTTGCTCTGGCTCTGCAGTTGTCCCACCCCGGCAGCAGCCTCTGGACGGGGGGGGGGGGGGTGCGACCACGGAAAGGGCTTCTTTCCCCCCTTATTCACGTGTCTGCTCCTCTTTTAAAACCACCTAAGCCCACAGCCCCTCCTCACTTCTTTCCGCAGCAAGTTCCGCAATCGGATTGTGCATTGTATGAAGAGCTTCCTTTTAACCTGTCCCGGGTCCTACCGACCTGTTTTGTTTCATTGTGTGACCTTGAGGTGTTGTGTTATGTAAGAAGGAGCACCGTTCATACTTTGACACACCTGGATGGTTCGAGAAACCCTGCTGGCCTGGCGGGTTCCCATCCTGGACTCCTCAGGAGCATCCAGGATTGGTCAGTCATTGGGGTTGCTTGGCGTGAAAGGCTTCAAAGATCTCTCCCCCCCCCCAAAGGAAACTCTTGGCTTGTGATATGAAAAGTATCTTGCAGGGGATGTTCAAAGACGCCTCAGAGTGGTTGCTAAGGTGCTGTTGCTGAACCTCTGACTAAGTGGCGGAAGATGCAGGGAGGGAGTTCTGTTCTGTTTCCAGGCATATCTAGCACGAGCCGGGTGCTGTGCAGAGCATGTGGGCCTAGTTTCTTCAGCTGGCCTTTTGGGGTCATGTTTTGGGGGGTTGTCCTGGTTGTGTTTGGAATCCGCTGCAACCAGCCAATTCAAATGAGTTCTCTCAGAACTGCCGCCTGGTTGTTGGGATTGCCGGTTTGTTGTTTGCTGATAGAAATCTGTCAGAGCTCACCGCCGCGCATCAGTTTCTAGGTAAAATATGTTGAGTCCTCAAAGAGAGAAACAGATTTTTTTTTTTAAGTGCAGGAAGCCTCTGTGTGGGTGTCAGTGATTGTAAGTCAGTTCAGTCTCTCTGGGCTGCTGCGACCGTGGGACCAGCTGCATCGGCTCCACCCTGAGCCACTTCCTCTCGGCACCCTTCACACTGCGGTTAGAGCTGTGCTCCTCTCCAGCGATATCGAGGCAGAACCTTTGCCACTAACCAGCGAGCGACCTTCGCCCTTGGGTTCTGTGTCAAAGACCAGGCAGTGACCTTCTGGGTTGGGTGGAGGGGATTCTAGACGTTCTCGCGGAGAGGGGCTTGACTTGTTCTGTCTTGAGAGGGCTAAGGTCAGGCGTGTTTTCTCTGCTGCTGAGAGCAATACCTGAGGTGCGGGTATGGGGCAGCAGGGAGGAGGGGGCTGAGAAACCCCCCTTGACAGTTCCACACTGGTGCATACCAAAGCAGAGACCAGGGCAGGCAGGCAGGAGTGCAGAAGTGTGGAAAGCGGCTCCCTGTAGTAAGCAGGTCTCTCCAAAGGGTGTTCCTGCCTCCAGGGATCCTAGGAAGGTTTTGGAGAATCACCCTTGAAGGATGACGGAGGGCAAACAAGAACGGCCTGCGAGTTCAGGGTGTGTGTGTGTGAGTTGAGCACTGGCCATTTCATGGGTTCACTTTGCAGATTGCCACATCTGAACGGTGCTCCACACCCTTGCCCGAGATCGTGCATGAAAGGCACTGTTTTATTCTGTGACAGCACCTAGAACAACAGAGCAGCCCACGTCTTTGCTCACTTGTGGTTGAAAAGAAGGTTAGGTGACCTTTCCAGTGTTCCTCAGCAGCATTCTGAAGCAGGCAGGGCCTCACTCCTCTTCCAGCCAGAAGGGATAGCCTAGCTGCAGATGCTGGCAGCTGCCCGTGTGTGTGTGCGCGCAAGCATCAGAGATGTGGACTTCCAGGGTGGTTTGCTACAGGTTTCCTCCTTTAGATTTAGATAATCCTCGGGTAGATTCTGAGCGTTGTGGCCCTGGCCCTGCTTCTTGCAGGCTGCTCATCTTGTGCACGCATGTTGGCATTTCATATCGGTGGTTAACGCCTCTCTTTTGAAGTGGAGGGCCTTGGTTCCGTTCCCACTCCCACGCTGAAATATTAACACTTTCCGTAACGTGCAAAGATAACAAGAATTTGACTAGGTGGACACCACATAGCTGAATTTAGGGGGCAGTTTAAAATAATATCTTTATTTTAGAGCTAGCCGGTGTTCACAGTAAACAACGCAAGCTTCCAGTTTACACAGGACTCTTCCTCATGCTCAGTAGACTCAAAATCAGAGGAAGGGAAGGAGATGCCTTTGGGGAAAGGGCCAGGGGTTTATTTCAGGCTTGAAATAGTGTGTGAGAGAAACCCTTTGCAGTCCCAGAATTGCACCTATCTCGCTTTAGACAAAGGTGTGGCAGGAGGACAGAGAGGCCATGCTGATATTTCTAGAGAGACGGAAAGAGACTCCGTTGCATCGGACAGGTAAAATCTGTGGTCCGAGAATGGACACGAGAGGCGATTGCAGGTAAATGCAACTTGCTTGGGCTTCAGGGACAGATTGAAAGGGCTGCCTGTGCGGAGCCTCCCCAGGGCAGGGTTGCAAGGCCAAGGCTAGCTCTAAGTGCCGGGAGCCAGAAGCCCACCGTCAGAGGGACCAGACCCTGCAGGACGGAGAGGTCTCATGCCAGTCAGCATCGGGGTGGGAGGATCTTTCATGATCTGCTTGCGGTGTGGGCTGCCTGTTGACACCTGTCAGCTTCTGTTTCCTCCTTTAGTTTTGCTCTCTAAGATGGCGCTAGCGATTTCTGTTTTCATCTGTCATACGTCAGGTGTTCCCCCACACATCCACCTTCCCAGGATCTTGGGACGGGGAGGTTGCTTTTGGAAAGTTTGCATATGAGGCGCACACTATGCAAGATGGACAGTGTCTTTTATCAGTCACAGAAAAGTTAGCCGGGAAAGACAGATGAGTGACGGGAGGTGCCGCTAAGCCAAGAGGAGTTTTTTGACTCATGAAGAGGGATGGGACAGAGAGACTGCAGCTGTCAAGGATCAGTTCCCTTTCCCTTGGTCAGACCCCCTCCAGGAGATTTGGGGGAAGGACTGAGAAAAATCATTTTCTGCTGAGCCCCAGGAGGTCTTTCCCTGCCAGTTTTCTCTTCTGAGGCAGCCAGCATCCTTCCCAGGTGCCGAACAGCTCCCTCCATTTAGAAAGGGAGCTGCTGTTTGAGGACTGGAGCCCTCCTGGGCACACACAACTGTGGCCCCCCCTGGTCCGTTGAGACAGGGGAAGCTCTGCTCTGCAGGAGGGTTCTGCAGCCTGGGCGGGGTCTCCAGCGGGGCAGGGCTCGGGCTCAGGAGGGGGCAGTGTCAGTGTCAGCGGAGGGGGGGAGGCGGAGCCTGTGCTCTGTGTGTCGAGGGACCCTGCGGGGGCAGGACTGAGGGAGGCCTTTCTCTGCCTCAGTTTTCTGTGTTCCTTCTATGTGCAGAAAGGGGAAGTGGCAGAGGTGCCCCCATAGGAGGGAGAAGCAAGGCCTCCTGAGGCCCAGATTGGCACGGCTGCACACGAGACTCTGTGTGGATGAGCCCGGTCTTGCTGCTGTGCTCTCACCTCTCTCCCCCCCTCCCCCCCCCAAGAGATGGGTGGGGCTGATGTCTTTGCTGCCTGGCAGCGCCGGCTGGGGTACAGCCTGTTGTTCATCTTCGTTTTGCTGAAGTGAGCCTTCCGTGCGGTTTGCGTGTACTACTTGGGCAACTGCTGAAACTGTTGTGGTTTCACATGAGGGATCTGTTTTGTTTTTTGGGGGGAGGGGAAACCCTGTTTCCCCAAATCTAGGAGCAAGCAATCAAAAATAACACCGCTTGAAATAACAGAAGTGTGCCATTCCCAGCAGTTGGCAACACACACACCCCCAAAACACATTTAGGATGCATTTGTTTCCCTCGCAGAGTTCCAGCAGAGTCATAGCCAGAGGCGTATGGATTGGGGGGAGGCTCGGCCAGGGCTAGGGGAGCGGATTTTGGGTCAGGCTTGGTGCTTTTTCTGCTGGTGCCTTGTTTCCTCGACAGCCAGATGTGTAATAATATAGGTGTGGGGGTTATTGGGGGGGGAGGCACTAAGCATGCAAGAGAAGTGTGTTTAAAGTCAGCCCTTCTCTGCAAAGCTTTCCTCTTAGGCTAGAGGGGGGGCATCTGGGGCTAGAAGCAAATGGTGGACATTTTGCCTTCCTGGGGGAGGGTTAGTTTTTTTTTCTTCCTCCTGTGGTCAGTAACTCCCTTTCTTTTCTTTCTTTTTTTCCCCTCCTCCCTCCCCCTCCTCCTTTTTCTCTCAACCCTTCCAGGTAAAAGTACTCCTGTAAGTCAACTTGGGTCTTCCGATTTTGCCAAGCCCCCCGATCCATTCCAGCCGTTTGGGTTTGACAGCAGTGACCCGTTTCAGAGTAAAAAGGGGTTTGGGGACCTATTTAGTGGAAAGGACCCGTTTGCTCCTTCCTCTTCAAGTAAACCTTCTAAAGACTCTTCCCTTGGGTTTGCTGACTTCAGCTCTGTAAGTTAAACTCCTTCTCTCTGAGCCATCAGCCACTTTCTCTGCTTCTGGTAGCACCCTTGTCTGGGCCTTTTGTTGGGGGTGTTTCTGTTTCAGTAGCACTCCTCTCCCCCCCCTCCCCCCGCCTTTCCACTGACTCGTTTCTCTTAGTCCCCTTGGGCTGCCTGCTTGCCTTTCCCACTAGTTAGTGCTGTATTAATCTGTATGTTACAGATTGACTTGCCAATAAAAGAGCTCTTGAGTTTGTAAGCAGTTCAAATTACCTTTCAGTTGTGGCTTGGCTTGGTTTTGTTTCAGACTGAGGGAAAGATTAAAATATTGTGGCACCTGGGAGTGTCACTAAAAAAAAAACCCCAAGAAAATGCTTCAGATTGGCTTCTGGGTGGGTTCGCTACTGGGAGAATAATGTTCATGTGGAAGTTAGTAAAATATTCCATTTAGGAAAGGAGGATGGGCCTCAGGTGGGGAGCAATGTTCCCTCTAAGCTGTAGAGTCCTGTGAACAAAAATTCTACTTTGTGAGCTACTGGCATTAAAGTTGTGAGCAGATGATTTGGCTACTGCATAAATTAGTGTGTTCTGGAGCCCTCCTTCCTGAGCCGAGACAAAAATGTGTGAGCCGGAGGCTAAAGAACTGTGAGCTAGCTCACACTAACTCAGCTTAGAGGGAACACAGGTGGGGAGGACTGTCCACAGAGCTTCCAGAGGTAGGCAGCCTGTTTCATGAGCTCAGCTCAGTGGCGTGTCTCCTACTGCTTTGCTTGCCTTGTGAGTGGGAGGAAGGCTCCTCACAAGGGCTGGAAGGAGGCTCCAGACTTTGCAGAGCCGAGGAGTCGAACGAATGGCAGTGGTGCAGGGCAGAGGCTGGGACTCACTTGGTCCACTGAGGAGCATCTCTAGCGGCAGGCTCCTGTCTGAGACCTGGTGCTGGTCAGAGTAGTCAGCACTGAGCAAGGCAGACAGGCTTGATAAAGGAAGCAACTGCCTGGCTCTGGATTGGTGGTTTCATATGTCATCAGTGTCAATCTAAGGGAGCTGGAAGGGGCCGGGAGCAGAGAGCTACTAGGGAGCAAAGGCTTGGAGGGATGGGGTTCGGTGGCAAGGGTCAGATATGTCGATCCATTTCAGTTACTTAAAGATGGGGAGGGACCGACGGCGTGCCTTCGAAGCAGCATGGAATATTCTAAAAGGGAGAGCAGGGTCAGCAGTGGAACCAGCGGGAGGCTGCGGAATCCCCTTTCAGGATCTGTCAGGGCAGGAACAGGTTCTTCTGCCTGAGGGTGAGTCACAGAAGGTGTTTCTGACATGCATTATGAGGAAAGAGGTGTGTAGATTTTGCATCCAGACTGTAGAGTGTGAAATGAACACCAGTGAGAAATTCCAGAGGGGTAGCTGTATTAATGTGGTGCAGCGGAAACCAATACGAGTCCCGTGTCACCTTCAAGACAGACAGATTTACAGTGGCAGAAGCACTTGTGAACCAGAGGCAGGTGTGTGAAGCCTGTGACATCTCTTTGCGAAGCTCAGATTTAAGTAAAGCAGCACATCCCTTCACAACAGCAGTAACAGCATAATAACAACATAATCTTCCTAGTTTTGCTATACTGATGTAATCTCAGTGGAGTATGGAAAAACTTTGGTCTCGGTCGAGACCTAGATTTAAACGATCAGTTATAAAGATAAATTCTAACTCAGCCATTTCACACAGTGGTGTTCCTCTGAACTGCCTTTGTTGAGGAATGGGGACTTCCAGGACAGCAGCAATCTGTCCTGGGAAACTGAATTGTTCTCCCTCTGATTTCTGAAAGGTAACGTTTTGGGTGTTAAAGGTCTGTCAGTTTATTGTTCTGCCTGGAGATAGATGCATTTTGTCCAGTGGAGACACCAGAAATGGGCTGTGGACCACAAAAGCTTTTGCCACAGAGGCATTGCAAGACCCTCTTCCATTTTTTGTGATTAAAAGGAAAAAAATGTCCTGGTGTGCTTGTTAACCTTCACAGGGGCAGACAAGCTTGGTTCACTGGTTTCACTCCGTGAAAGCTGAGGTTGAATATCTGGTTGGGACTGCTGGGCTGTTTGATCATTAAGCATATGCAGGCAGTTTTTTTTTCTGCTTAATGAACCTTTTAAGAAGTCTGCGTTGATCTGCCATCCCTTTGTGCTTATATTAAATACTCCCTCGCAGACAGAAAGGTACACATGAGGACCCGTGTACACTTAAGTGGTTGCATGGAGGCACCCACGTACACCTACTCATAAGGGATTGCCCATTGCTTCAGTGGAGTGGGTGGACTGCAGTGCCTAGTACTAGATCCATTACTGATTTGGGTCCTCCACAGAAGGCAACAAAAGAGGCTTCACCGATAAACAGTGTACCTGAGCCCAGGTACATTTCACTCCACCCCTGACAGACCACTGTAGAGCTCATGGTGTCTCTTCCAGTCAGATGGTATGTATTTTAATATGGCAGATGTTGTGTCTATTTAGATGCAAAACATCCCATCAGACTGTGGGACTCTCCAGTATGAATATCAGATAAATTTTGCTAGCCAGCTACCCTGTTTTTAAGAACAGACCTCTGTGTTGTGAAGGAACAGACTCACAAGCCTGTCCTATGCTTTCTGGTTGGCTCATGAGTGGTCAGAAAAATCCCCCAGCCGCTCCAAGTCTCTGCTCAGCAATGCCATTCTTTACCCTCTCTCCCCAGGGATGCCAAAAACAAACTGGGTAACCCCCCACTACCACAAACAGCGTTTCCAGAGATTAGGCCTAGAGCATTCTCAAACTATAAGAAAAATTAATAAATGAATAAAAAGAATACACATGGTCTGCTCAGGCATTCAGGCTGAACAAGGGTACAAAGAAAAGGTGAAAATACACCTTTCCCTTCACTCAGAACATATCCTAACCAATGTTTAATTAGGACAAACTAGCTGTACTTGAAGTTGCAGTAGTTTGAAATTAATTACCTTAGTTCTCGTGAACTTCTTCTCATTGTTCCTTGCTGCGTGGAAAAGATGGAGCCCCTAGGTAAAAGTTTAATCTTTCATGGCATGTGACTCCTTGGTCAGAAATCATAGAAGAGAGTGCTTCTTTATGTCCAGGGGTCATTCAGATCTTCCTGTCCCATAAAGAAGATAATATATTTTAGTGATTTGTCTGTTTCCCTCCCTGTCCCTGGGTGTCACTTTCCAACATGCTGTGAAACTACTGTCGTGCTTCAGGCAGACCTATTAGCATAACTAAGAGCTTGAGTGCTCTGTGCTTGGAGCTTGCTGGCTCTTTCCAGTAACTCACTCCTTTCGGCCAGCTACAAGTTTGCTGCTGTGTTCCTGTTCATGGACAGAGTGTAGTCACAATAATTGAAATATTAGGTGAATTCTAGAGTGGAAGGCATTTCTTCACACCTCCCCCTCCGACTTTTGGAAGTGGAAAGATACCATTTTACAGAATGGTGTGTTGCAGTGCACAAAAGGAAAATTAACAAACTAAAAGAAATATTAGCTTCACATTGCACAGTACAGATTACATACTACGGTCAAGCAATTATTCCCGTACATATCAGCAAAAAAATTCTCTCCTCTGGTCCAGGATCTCAAACCAGTCCTTATTATTTGTCAATGTCTTTTCAGCAATTCTATTATTCTTCCTGAAACTTGTTTGATTTTCATATTAAATGGCTGTATTTTCCAAAATCAAGGTTGGAGTTTGGTGTTACAATCTCTCACGGTTTGTAGACGCTGCAACGATGAGTGATCCGGCAGGAGATATATGGTCTACGTTTATCCAAAACCCATACAATTGCCAAACAGACTTTTTGTACTCAAGACAAGTTTCTTTCCCTTGGGATGAGCATTCGCCTCTGATATGCTACCGCATATTTGGTACCATCAAAACCATTCCCAGGCCTTTGTTTAAAGCATCTGTGGCCAAATTAAAATATATGCTACAGTCTGGAGCCTTGAAGTTGGTGGTCTGACATTCTTGGGTCCAGACTACCTTGTCAGGCATTGTTTTCTTTGTGAGTGCATGAAGTGGACAGGTTGTAGTCCCAGCCTGGGGCAGAAATCTGCAATAGAGCTTCTTGGTTCTAGGAGGGCCTGTATCACTTCTCCCTTGTCCCAAACCAGCGTGATGCTCCTACTTCCCACTCTGTGTCCTAAATACGCTCCTTCTGGCATCCCAAACTGACACTTGTTCAGTTTGGGCGTGAGACCCACTTCTTGGAACGTCCTAACACCTTGGCCAGGTGCTCCAAATGCAAATTTAAATCTTTGCTAAAAATCACTATACCTATAGTACCTATAGTATATTCTGCCATCCCATTCAGCAAGGTTTTTATGGCCCTCTGTAAACATACTGGTTAATTCCTAACCACAGATGGAAGTAGAGAAAACTCATATAGATCATCTAGAGCAGAGGTGTCAAACTCATTTGTTACATGGGCCGGCTTTGACATAAATGTCACTTTGTTAGGCTGGGCCATGTGTGCCATAAAATGTAACGCCACGTAGCAGAGATATAAACTTTATAAAGAACACAGGCAAACCCAGTTAACTATTTTTTTTTACTCAAAATACAAACAAAAGCAATTGATTCCTTGCAGTGACAGCAATTGATTTTCAGGGCTCTTTTTGTATCAGGAACTCCTTTGCATATTAGGCCACACCCCCTAATGTAGCCAATCCGCCAAGAGCTTACAGAGCTCTTCTTACAGGAGCTACTGTAAGCTCTTGTAGGATTGGCTACATTAGGGGTGTGTCGCTTAATATGCAAATGAGTACCTGCTTCAAAAAGAGCCACTGGGGAACTCACAAAAGCCCCAATAAATGTATTTAATCATATGCAAGACTAGGTTTTTCCCAAGGGATACCATAAAAGGGAGAGTACCTTACATTTCCATACATACCAGTTGCTTGCGGGCCGGGTTAAAGCCCTGGATGGTCCAGTTCCGGCCCCTGGGCCTTATGTTCGCCACCCCGATGTAGACTAATGAAAGCA